CTGTTCAGCCTTTGTTTCCTGACCCCTGTCCGGTTTCTCCCTGACCCAGTGCAGTCTACGGTATCTCCTTCCGTCTTCGGATCTTTGGATCACTGCCAGAGTTAAAGGTGTGCAACCATTAGCTTTCCCACCCCATACTGCGTCGGGTCTCCTGGTCTCTGAGACCTGAAAGTTGACGACTTTGCATCCTCTCGGAGACGCTGCAGCCGTCACCATGCCACAAAACGAATATATTGAATTACATCGTAAACGCTATGGATACCGTTTGGATTACCATGAGAAAAAGAGAACGAAGGGAAGTTGGGAGGCTCATGAACGTTCAAAGAAGGCAAAGAAGATGGCTGGTCTGAAGGCTAAGCCCTATCATAAACAGCGCCACGCTGAGAAAATACAAATGAAAAAGACGATCAAGATACATGAAAAGAGGAACACCAAACAGAAGAGTAACGGAAAGACTCCACAGGGGGCAGGACCTGCCTACCTGTTGGACAGAGAAGGATGGGCCTGAGCTAAAGTACTTTCCAATATGATTAAACAAAAATGGAAAGAGAAAGCGGGAAAGTGGGAAGTCCCTCTACCCAAAGTTCTAGCCCAGGGAGAAACAGAAGTCTTAAAAGCTATTCAAACTGGAAAGAGAAAGAAGGAGGCAAGGAAGAGGCTGGTTACAAAAGTCTGCTTTGTTGGAGATGCTGTACCAGAAAACCACCCAAATATGAAAGGCTCATTAGGCCAGTGGGCTCACGTTTCAAGAAGGCCCACGTAACATCCTGAACTGAAAGCCACCTTTCGCCTGCCAATACTCGGTGTAAAGAAGAACCCCTCATCCCCCCGTATACAACTTTGGGTGTTATCACCACAGGTACTGTCATTGAGGTGAACGTGAGCGAGTTGGGTCTGTGACACAGGAGGCAAGGTTATTTGGGGGAAATGTGCCCAAGTTCCCAACAATCCTGAAAATGATGGCTGCCTAGATGCTGTCTTACTGGTGAGAGCAGCTGCCTCCGAGTAATGCCTTGTAACTTTGGAAGATGACACACCAACCTGGAAACCTTCATGACGGATGTTTCTGAATACAGCCAGTCTTACGTGTCTGGAGTCATCAAAGGATTATTTATGAAATTGTTCAAAAACAATAAAGTGGCCTAGTTTTACCAAAAAAAAAAAAAAATGTGCAACAATTAAATGTAAATAAGAAATTGTAAAGTAAAAGAAATAAATTAAATAGCTTCACTAGGAGCTACACATTACTACACTTTCTAAAAATATTGACTCTAAAAAGCCGAGTGGTACCTGCATCACCTTGGATGGGCTGTCTACAGAGAGGGAAAGAAAAACACTTAAAGATGCCCCTGGAAAGTGAGAGGTGGAATCCAGTCAGTTCTGTCTCCTGCCTCCTCCTCTGTCCTCCCTTGTACTCGTAGCATAACTGTGTCCCACTCGCACAGCTGTCCTCATTCCAGGTCTCATTACCTTCCCCTGGAATCTTGCAGTAATCTCCAGAGCAGTGGTGGGTAGTCTTGTCCTGTCCTTTCCATGTGGCATTGACCTCTCCATCTTATGCGTTTTGGTGGCTCTCACTGCCTACAGAGTTAGCGCCTGGCTCCTCTGGCTGGTCTTTCTAGCCTGCGCAGTAAAACAACAGATGCCCATCTAAGCAGAGACATTCCGGAGTGAGAGGGTGCCCTTTAAGTAACTATGGTGAGACTGCAGGTGCAGACCACAGTGCACAATGAAAGCCAGCATGTGTGGCCTTCCTGCAAATAGGCCCCAGTGGATATGGCCGGCCTCTGCCATGATGCTAGGGAAGATTCCCAGTGCATGCTGGTGAAGGCAGGAGACAAAGCGCCCTGTCTGCCTGCCACAGGACACAGGGAAAGTACCTCTCCACGGACCAGCCTGGTGCCACCTTTTGTTTTGCATAGGCACGCTCCATGCTGGACAGGGGGCTTGCTCCTCTCTCCCACTCGGCTGCCTACCAACATGGTATCCATTCTTCAGAGCCCAACTTGATACAGATTCCTTTAAGAATCCTTTCCTAGACCAGTTGGTGGTGTAATGATTAAGGAAGCTAGATCCCACCTGGCTGGCCGTGCAGTTGGAGTGGCCTGAAAACGCCTGGTGTATGCCCGGCATCCCAAAAGGAGAAACAGAGGAGAAAAGATTGTAACTTGATTATTACTCATGAGGAGTGCTTTTTCACTTTCTTTCTCTCTCTGGTGAGCACATACACCCTGTGACAAAAATTAAAAGAAAAAAAAATGTTGGGGTGGGGGGCCAGTAGGTGGCAGGGTGGTTAAGGTGCTGGATTCTCCCACATGGCCGACAGTACTTCAAGTCCTAGACCTGGTGACTTGAAAGTCATGACAGGCACATATGCATGCATGCCCAAGATCCTGAGAGGAGAATGGAGGAGAAGGGACTGTGGCATGGCCAACCCCCCTAGGGGGGGATTTCTTACTTTCTGTCTCTCTGTCTCTCTCTGTCTGTCTGGCGAGCGTACATGCCCTATAGCAAAAACCTCTCAAAAAAAAAAAAAAGATCCTAGGGTGAGAATGGAGGGGAAGGGACTGTGTCGTGGCCATCCCCTCTAGGGGGTGATTTCTCACTTTCCCTCTCACTGTCTCTGTCTGTCTCTCTCCAGTGAGCTCATGCACCCTATGGGGAGGGGAGAATCCTTTCCTTACCCTTCTGACTCAAGATGATCTCTACTTCTGTGCCCCTTCTGTAAATGACTGGCCCCTTTTCTGCTTGCTGAATCCCCTGAGGTTGACTCCTAGGCCGTCTTGCTGGGGATCCTCTAATCATTCTCTAACCAGTCTTCCTCTGTGGCTATGCTTTCTGTTTGTGCATCTGTCAGAACCAAGCGCTCAGACTTTATTTCTTCCCACAAACCAGTGACAAGCACTGTGGAATACACTAAGATTGCAGAAGGATGGGAGGAGGGCAGTTACAGCACATCTGATATTAAAGCCCTAGGAACTCCTCTTTGTTCTTCCTCCTGCCCATAGTCCCTCTTTGTCCATATTATGTCAACAGCAAGGAGGTTTCCCTCCTCCTTCCCTTGCTCAGCATCCAGCTCAGCCACCCCCAGCCTCTGCCGGGCAAGGCAATTCATCTCTACTGGCCCAGACTCCTCTCAGATATGCATTGTGCTCAGTAAACAAGAGACTCACAACCTCTTGACATGGTCTTCACCGGGGCCCCATGTTTGCTGCTTATCTCTAGAACATGTACAATGTATACCCCAAGAAGGATTATAGAAAATGTGTTGTCCATCACCTACATTTGTGTTTTCCCCTATTGGGACCTCCTCAGATGCACAAAATGCTTGTCGTGTTGAAAAGAGAACTCCAGGCACTTGGACAGGGTGATTCGGAAATGGGCTACCTACAGAATGACAGCGTGGACTCTGAAGGAAGGACGTGCAGCACCAGCTCACATTTCTGGGTGCCTACTGTATGCCTCAGTGCCTTTACATGCATCATTTCCTTAAATATAACAATGCTGGGTTTTTTCCTACCACGCAAAGCACATGGTTAAAAATGCGTGCTCCCTGCAAGTTTGAAGCAATGAAATCTTACTGAAAATGAAACTCTGGGAGTTGTTTTATGAAAGAGCTTCCTTTGAGCTGCCATTGAGGGTATAGTGGACAGTTTGATGAAAGAAGCACAGCCCCGTTCAGATTGGCTCTGCCCGTTAACCACGGAACTTGTGCAAGCTCCTTTACTTCCATGAGCCTCAGTTTTCTTAACTCTTATGGGGTCACAATAATCCTGCCTTATGATAGGCTGCATTTGTAAATATGATAAGAATATGCATCATGTGCTGGACAATGGTGTCTCAGTCCCTGACAGCCCCGTGTATGACAGTAGTCGTAGGAGGTGCATGTAGGCTATACCAGATGGCCTGGGTGTGTGGTCCGCCGTACTAGCCAGGTTTGTGTAAGTGCACTTCACGGTGTTCACACAGCAGAACTACCTTACAGTGTTGTCTTAGTCTGTCATTGTGTTGCTTACAGAAATACCAAGAACTGAGTGGATTTAAGAGAATAAAGTTTTCTTAACTCCTGAGTCTGGTCTTGTAGATGGCCCAAAGGCATCGCAGAATGGGAGCGGGCAGGATCCCGAGCAGAGCAGCTGTGCTCTTTTTCATCTGTCCCGGTCTCCTCTCCCGTCTTATAAATGTAGCAGAGCTTGATCAGCAGGGGCCTGCCCTAATGACCTTATCATACCCCAGAGCCCACCAAACCCCCGCCCAGGACACAATGAAGGAATTCAGTTTTCACTTAACACTTTTGCATACAACCAGGTCCTAACATGTGAACTTCTGGGGGACATCCAAACTGTAGCAGATGCATTTCTCAAAACATCCATCATCAAGTGACACATGGCTGTATATGAAAAATACGTGGTATCTGTAGGTTCTCAAAAACATCCCCTCCCTCTCCCTGTCTTCCTCCCGTGGCCCCTCTTCCCACCTGGTCTCACAGAAGTCGTCATCTTGGGAAGCAGTGGCCCCATGATAAATCGGAGCTCCCACACTCAAGACCTCAGAGCCTGCTCCTTATTACCACCCTCTGAGGCCTCGAGATGGTCCAGTCTGTACTTTGCTGCTCTGATGGCTCAGGAGGCCTCTCCCTCTTGCCTCCGTCCACACACAGACGTTCCACTGAGCCAGGTCATGTACACAGCTTGTCCCTTGCTTCAAGGGCCACAGAGGGCCTCACCCCAAGTTCGCTCAGAGCTCACATGGGCCTCTGATACACTCTTAATCCTCTTTTCTCAAAAAATGGCACGTCTCCTGGGCTGAGTTTGTTGCTTCACAGACATTGCTCTCAGATGACCTTGTTGTGTTCGAATCCCACCTGAGACGACGCATTACTGCACAGTCCACGGCTCCTCTGCCTAACAGCATTCATCAACTGCACGTGTTTCAAAGGGCAAGTGTGCACATACCAGGAGACATTTCATGTATAAAATTAAGTGCTCCTAAAATGATTTTAGCATTACTCATATTCACCAGGTCATTCTGTAATTGATTTTAAACTCAGCATTTTACTTCATTGTATTTTAAATTTTAAATTCTAACATTAACTCTGTGTTTTTCATTTCTGTAGTTCTGTTAAGTTAATGAACTATTGATAGCAATTTCAAGTTTTATTGATGTGTCTAGTGCAATTTGCTACCAACCTAAAATATTGTGGGGCTGATGAATATTTGGTTTCGACGGTAGAGGAAAGCTATGAGTCCTTAATTTGGAGCTCCTAGCATGAGCATAGCCTATTATAAAAATATACAAAATCCCCTGGAAACACAAATAGTGTGGCGTGACTACCATACTACCGAGCATGGAGATTCTTAGCAAGACCACATTAGAAGTGAGCGTGTGCTGTCCCTGGGGTCAATTGATGGCATTCACATGTCCGTACTGTATCTTCACTGTTTTTTTGCAGAGGTACTCTGTGAAAGGTATCCCCTTTGATGATGCAATTAAATTTATCCAGATTGCCGAGAGGGCGCGGCAAGGTCGTCTGAGAGCAATATTTATGAAGCAGATCTACCTTCGAGAGTACAGAGCAAAGCAAGCCAAGACAGAGAAAGTAGTAGACACAGGGGCTGCTGCCCTGTGCATTCAGAAGGTACAGGCTGGGCTCTTGCACTGGGGGATGAGGTGTCCTGAACTGCTAGAGATACGTGCCAGCTTTGGGGCTGAGCTCGAAACAAAATCTGCAAATCCTACCCTTAGTAGAACTGGACTAAATTCTGTAAATATTTATGAACTTACTCTGGGGAAACTATGAACTAAGCTTGGACATATAATTTTTATTCTAAGTAAGAATTAATGTAATTTATTTAATTTAAATATTTTTAAAGACCACTGATACTTGTTAGAAAGAATGTTGATAAAATTTGATAAAGATATAAATCTTTAATGTATTTTTTAAAAATATGTTTACATACTGTTGACAGAAATAACCAACTCTGCAGAAATAATAATTAATGTGGTTTATTTCTAAACACGAATATGTGTGACCATTCCAGAGAAAGGTAAACATGCATTTCTCAGGGTGATCAGATACAGAGGTTCCTTTTATTTGTTTTGTTTTGTTTTGAGAGGTTTTTGCTGTAGGGCATGTGCACTCACCAGAAGGGCAGAGAGAGACAGAGACAGAAAGTGAGAAATCACCCCCCAGGGGGATGGCCATGCACAATCCCTTCTCCCCCATTCTCCTCTCGGGATCTTGGGCACACACGCACACATGCCTGGTGTGAGTTTAAGCCACCAGGTCCAGGATTTGAGCTGTGGTTGACTACATGGGAATCCAGAGACATAGTCATTATGCCAACTGCTGGGACAAGGTTTGGAATTTGGGGCAAAGAGTTCTTTCATTGGTCTGGCCCCACAAGGCAGAATATCTGGAAGCAGGGGCTTGTAGGCCATACATGGGTTTTACAGTTGTTGATTGGAAAGGGAGGTCTGTCCTTCGGGAAGGCGTCAGCATGGAGTGTACTGTCACAGCAATACGGGGACTTGTATAGATCACAAGATACTGTCCCAAGGACAGGATGTAGAAAGAGTCCTATTATCGATGAGTCAAATGGTCTGTTAATGTTTGTAGGCGTGACTCACCGCAGGCATTTTGGAAACAGGAAAAAGCAGTCAGACTTCTGTCCTCAACACAGACATATAATTACAAAAGGAGGAGAAAGGTCAATACCTGTGAGCTTGCAGAAGCACATACCATTTGAAAAGAATTCCAGCCACCATCACTAATACCAGAATACCTATGTTCTTTCTTTCTTTTTTTTTTTTCTTTTTTTGGAGAGGTTTTTGCTATAGGGCGCATGCATTCCCCAGACAGACAGAGAGATAGAAAGCGAGAAATCACCCCCCAGAGGGGATGGCCACACTGCAATCCCTTCTCCTCCATTCTCCTCTCGGGATCTTGGGCACTCACGGCCTGGCGTGAGTTTGAGCCACCGGGTCCAGGACTCAAACCACGGTCGACTACATGGGAGTCCAGCGACATAGCCATTACGCTAACTGCTGGTCTCATGTTCTTTCTCCAGGTGGCCTTTGAGAGTTTCTTCCCTTTGTCAGATGAGATCCATTTTGCATGACAACACCCATCTGTCATCTCATAGTCCCCGTGGTCAGGAGTCTGGGCATGGCTGAGCTGGGTCCTGTGCTCACGGTCTCAAGGGCTGCAGTGTGGTGTCAGTGGCTGGGGTCTCATCTGCTCACGGTCAGACTGTGGGCCTCTGTTTCTGTGCCCGCTGTACCATGCCCAGTAGTGGGTTAGCACAGTCATTCCCTTTTTAGCCTTGAGAGGCGCCTCCATATGGCTTTCCATAATGGCGATGCTACTTTACATTCCCATGATGCAGGAGCTCCTCTCTCTCTACATTTTTTACCTTTGAACTCAGGCTATTTATGAAAAATGTAGAGAGCGGCAGTGGGGTACCAGTGAGCATTAGGTTTGAGGAAAAGTAAGTAGGAGGACTTAAAGCAGAGCAGATGCTCAGACGGTGTCCCTGATCCTGTAGGGCAGGAGTGAGGGAGGGAGTAGGGAAACAGTTAAGTTACTTTCTTTCTAGTTTCTGTGGGGAATAAAGTGTTAGCATCTGAGTTAAAAGCATGAGTTTTACAGCTTTGGAAGCTACTCTGCTCTTTCCCCACATGCATTTGGAAATTCTTTTTTTTTTTCAGTTTTTGGTTTTTGCCATAGGACACACACGGTCGCCTGAGAAACAGAGAGAGGGAAAGCGAGAAATCATCCCCCAGGGTGGATGGCTGCACTGCAGCCCCTTCTCCTCCATTCTTCTCTTGGAATTCTGGACGGACACACACACACACACACACACACACATACACACACACTCCCAGCATGACCTTCAAGCTGCTGGATCCAGGGCTCGAACCATGCTCAGTCGTGTGGTAGTCCAGCATCTTAGCCACCATGGCACTTGCTAGCGTAGAAATTCTTCTTTTAAAACCATAAAGTGCCACCTTTAGATCTAGCCTCACCCTCCTGCTATTCCCAAGTTTCTCTTGAAGAAGTCCAGGGGAAGCTCACTAATGAAAATTGGAGAGCATTTCTGTGACTCAGTCTCTCTCTAAAAATTGTTCCTCAATGAGCAGCCTGGGGGGAATGCCCATTATGGTGTTTGGGATGTGCCATTTATCTGCATATGTTTGTGTAGTAAATAAATAACTCTGTTTTTAGGTATGGCGAGGTTTCCATCAATCTAAGAAAACCGTAAGACAGAGAGAAGAGGAGATGGTATTCCTGGGCATGGTAAGTTTTCTTACAGACAAGACCTGGTTTTCTTAAAAACAACAGGATCTATAAGATTTATGTCTCCTTTAGAGAACTTTTGTGGGAAGAAAGGAAAGCAAAATAATAACATAAGAGAATGGACTTACCTGTATTGTACAGACACTGGCCCAGGATCTGGAGAGGGCAGGGTGGTATCCCTCCCCTGCCACTGGAGCACATGACGGGACTGCTCAATATGGAAGCGGGCTACAGGTTGTCACTACACTGCTCCAGCCCGATGTTACCAGGGTACACTACTTGATTAATCTTCATGGTGGTAGGAGTGGGTTGGCATTGACACTACCGGGTTTGGGAGAGGGTTTTTTCCAGTTTTCTATTTTGAATGAGGAGGATTTGCTCTTGTGATTACTGAACCAGAATGGGAGGCTGTACTAGTTAGTTATTGCCATATAACAGGTTATCACAAACTTAGCTGCTTAAAACAACACCCACTTGTCCTCTCCCTGTGGTCAGGAGTCGGCACGGCTGAGCTGGGTCCTCTGTTCGCGGTCTCAGGGGCTGCAGTGTGGTGTCAGTGGGCTGGGGTCTCATCTGGGGCTCCCCTGGTGAAGGGACCTTATTCTGGGCTGGTGTCATTGGCACGGTCGGTTCCCTGGGGCTGACAGACTGTGGGCCTCTGTTTCTGCCAGTTCCTTGCTGCGGGGGCCTCTCCATGTAACAGTTTGCTTCACCAAAGCCACAAGGAAAAGAAGGGTCACTTACAACCACATGCAGTGATCCTAGACGTGGCATGCCATCACTTTGCCCTGCACGATGGTTAGAAGAGAGTTGGAGGGTCCACGCACACTCGGGGGAGGGGGCGACATGAGGGTGAGAACTAGGGTGAGGAGTCACAGGTGACCATCTTACCGACTGTTTGCCGCTAACGGTTTTTCTACGTTGTCTGGATCCAGGGTAAGCCTGTGAGGAGGGCTGGCCCTGAGCCCCTCCTGAGCACAGAGTTCCCCCTGCCAGCCCCCGGCCAGGCCCATTCTGTCCCGTTTTCAAAGCTGCTTTCTTTCATTTAACTGAAATCTGTTCCCTGCAGACCCTGCTAGTTGGCCAGAGCCCTGTCCTCTGTGGTGGCTCAGAATGTGCCTTGTGTCCCCTTCACGTGACAACCCTTGAAATGTTTGGAAGAGGTTCTCCAGCTCCCTTCTGCCAACCCTTTGCAAAGCTGAGTGTCAGCCACGACGGTGACCGTTCCTGGTGGGGCCTTGTTTGTTGACCTGCTCAGTTTTCATTAAGGAATGCTGTAGTTTTAAAAACATTTCTAAAAAGAAGAAAGAAAGAAAAGAAGTCTTGCAGGTCCTGTCCCGGCTCTACATGAGTTGTAGAGGGCTGCATTGCTCCGTGCCCCTCTCTAACGCTCAGACGAAAACTGAAACCACAGCATTGATAAATGCAATGGCTGAGGCGGTCCACATGCTAGTGAGCTCTGGTGAGCTGAGCAGAAAAGGAAGAAAACACAAAGGCATGCATATAACCTGAGACATCAGCCAAGTTAAAACTTTACATGATGTCATGAACATTACGGTCATAAATTAGAAAATATTAAACAGAGAAGATTGTCAAGGCAAGTATAAGTATCAAGCCGACCAAATGGTAAAAACCCTAAATAAGCCATCCGTGTAGCAAATACTGAAAAGATTTTCAAAGTACCTGTGTGTGTGTGTGTGTGTGTGTGTGTGTGTGTGTGTGTACCCAAAATCCCTATGGGACAGAGAAATGGAGGCAGGATTGAGGTGTAACTATACCGCACAGGAGTTACTTTCTCTCTCTCTCTCTCTCTCTCTCTCTCTCCGTCTCTCTCTCTCTGTCTCTCTCTCTCTCCACTATTCCTGGTAAGTATACATGCCGTCTGCCAATTCAATGAAAAAATAAATAAATAAAAAGAAACAATGCTAACAAAGACCAGCCCCATGGCCTAGTAGTTATGGAAGCCCAATCCTACATAATCAACTGCAGTTCAAATCCCAGCCCTTGCACGCTGGAAAGCACAGTGGGTGTGTGAGTGTGTGCCCAGAATCCCGACAGGATGGAGAAATGAGAGAGAAGGGATTGTGGTATGACCACACGCCATCGAGGCGTGCTTTCTGTCTTTCTCTGTCTGTGTCAGGCAAGTACAGGTGCCTTCTGGCAGTATGAAAAAAAATATCTCTAATAACAAAAGAATAAGAGCTAATAATATGAGACCCAGCTTGGGCAAGGGCACAGGGACAAATGCAGCCTCAGGAACTGATGGTGGGAGTTCAGGAGCTCACCTTTCTGAGTCCAGTTCATCTCAGAACGAATATTTAAAACTTGCACCTTTAATGCCCAACATACCAACCCTTGAAATTTCTTCACTTGAAAAAAATGAGCAAAGTTTGCCATATTTTTTTTTTTTGAGATGTTTTTGCTATAGGGCGTGTGTACTCACTAGACAGAGACAGACAGACAGAAAGTGAGAAATCACCCTCCAGGGGAGATGGCCACACTGCAATCCCTTCTCCTCCATTCTCCTCTCAGGATCTTGGGCACGCACACACATGCGCCCAGCGTGAGTTTTAAGCCACCGGGTCCAGGACACAAACCGCAGTCAACTACATGGGAGTCTAGCGACATAGCCATTACGCTAACTGCTGGTCCCAAAGTTTGCCATATTCATATCAGTGTGGTCTTAGTTGTCAAGTAAGAGATTGGCATCCAGAAACAGGGAGGTAATGCAGTTCCAATCGTCCATGGTAGATGAGGGGATCTTCAAAGAGTTCATGACAAACGCATGCCATGACAACATGCATGGATCTCCATTTCTTTGCACTAAAATAAACTCACATTTTAGTTCTGCTTTTCTGCAAACTTCTGAAGTCTCCTCATAGCTGTAGAAGTGATTGTTTAGAGTTCCTCCATATTTTGTGAAATGCAAAGCAGGGACACCGTTACGGTTCAAATCCCGGGGTGTCCCCAGAGTTCCATGTTGGGGATACGGGGTGAGGAGGGGTGAGACCTGGCAGGCAACGATTGCTCCGTGGTGACTGCCCTCATGGAGACAGCGCTGTCATGAATAGGTGAGCGATGTCTCTCAAGACCAGTGAGTTGGAGGTCTCCCGAGAAGAGGTTAGTCATGAGAGTGGTTGCTGCAGGGGAGGATGGGGCAAGCTGCTGGCTCTATCTGCTCATGCCTGCTCTCCTCTACGCTGTGCTTTCATCAGCCTAGGCCTTTGGACTTCTCAGCCACCAGAATCAAGAGTGTGTAAATGAACCTCTACCCTCAGGCCAGCCAGTAGCCAGGTGGCTAAGGCAGCTGGATTCCACATGGCCAACTGTCCAGTTCAAGTCCCAAACCTGGCAGCTTGAAAAACACGCTAGGCACACGTGTGTGCGTACTCCCAATCCGAAAACGAGAAATGGAGAAGAAGGATTGGGGCGTGGCTCTCTCTTCTCTTTCTCACTCTCTGTCTGTCTCTCTCCAGTGAACACACATGCCCTATAGCAAATTAAAAATAAATAAACCTCCATCTTCCTAAGACAATTTCTGTGTTCCTATTTTTTTATTCCCTTGTTTATTCTTACATCTTTCTCAGATGAACATCTGTCTTAAGTCTAAAATATGACAGATGAAACGCCTGTTCAGAATTATATCAGAGGGGAAAATGTATGAATCATGATTTAAATAATTTGTTGCTTTCTAAATTGAATCTTTATTAAATAACTGCATTTGTGATACATATTCCTAGTTCTATGTACTTATCAAATGTGATTTTAATGGGACAAAAAAGTGAGACGGGGTTTTTTCTTTCTGCTTATAGTGGTAGACATGCTCAGAGACTAATGTAAAAGGGAAAAAATAAATGCAATTTGGGGCCACAGGTGCTGTAGTGGTTAAGGTGCTAGACTCCCGTGTGGTCAACCATGGATCGAGACCCGGACCCAGTGACTTGAAACTCACACCAGGCATGCTCAAGGTCCTGAGAAGAGAATGCAGGAGAGGGATTGTGGCATGACCATCCACCCTGGGAGATGATTTCTTGCTTTCTGTCTCTCTGTCTCTCCAGCAGGTACATGCACCCTATAACAAAAATCTCTCAAAACAATTTTTTAAATAAATGCAATTTACCATTTTTAATCAATACAGCAATATGGCTCTCTTCATATTTTTCTCTTTTTATGTTTAAGTGCTATTTTTTAAAGAATTGTTTATTTTATTTTATTTATTTGTTTGTTTATTTATTTTAATTTGTTACAGGGAACATACACTTACCGAGAGAGAAAGAGAGAGAAAGTGAAAAAGTTAGCCACCAGGTATGGGATTCAAACCGTGTTTGTCCATGTGGGAGTCTAGCACCTTAATCACCATGCCACTTGCTGGCCCTTGAGTGTTATTCCTTAGCACTACATTGTCTTTTCTCACTTCTACAGGAAATCCAGCAAAGGTTCCCATCATGTAGTTCATAGCTCAGTTCTGTTCATTCCGTGCCCAACCATGTAACCATTTTAGACATATTTTAATTAGATTTCCTGTCTAAGCATTACATATTCTGTTCTGGGCCGGGGGATTTAAAATACACTGAAAGGTCTTGCCAGTGGTCTGAAGTACAGACACAGCACTAGCTCCATCTTCAGGGTATTGCCATATGATTTTCATCGCTCTTACGCTGGCGCGCGTGCCCAGCATCCTAAAACAAAAAAGAAGGAAAAGGGATTGTGGCATGGCCATCCCCTCTGGGGGGTAATTCCTTACTTTTCCTCTCTCTCTTTCTGCCTCTCTCTGGCAACTGTATACACCTCTGATAAAGACAAAACAAAAGAATACAAGTGATAAAATCAAGGTATTACTTAGATCATTTATGCTAATCTGGTATGATCTCTCATAATTTTAAGGCAATAAAACTTGTATGTCACAGTTGGAAACTATAAACACAGGCATGGCGGTATCGTACCCTTTTACCAGGGAACCAGACCTTGTTTTCTGGAACATGGAGCTAAATTCTTTCCTT